CTCATTTTTAACCACACATTCTTCAATAAAATAATATTTTCTATCACATCAATAATCTTATCTTCTTTTTCAACCACACATTTCCCATCATATCACTATTCAAAATCAATTCTTCCCCAAAAAAATCCCTACCAAACACACACTAAATACTTTGGGGTTCTCATACCAAACTCTGAATCTTATTTATAAGTTAGGTCAAGTAATGTACCCTCGACATCTTTATAAATTGGAAGCTCCAATAGTAGGCTTCCATGTGTCCATTATGGACACTCTTATATATTGTGCTATGTACCCCATAGCATAGTGCAAATATCAACATTAAAGATGTGTTAAGATCTCAAGTGCGTGTATTTAGAACGTATTTGATGGGGATTAAAATTATATTTTTAGTAAATTGTGATAGAAGTTTTTGAAATGTATGGTTGAAAAGATGTGGAATCCATAAAAGATGTGATTAATATTAATTATTTGACTTTTATTTAAATTAAAATCAAATTTTAATTCGGACCAAACGATGGCTTATATTTATCAATTAAGAAATATTTTACATAATAATTGGACGCAAAGAGGACTGTGGAATACAATGAGCATATTCCTTCCGGTCAGAAACCAGAGACATAAAGGAGAAAGATATTTTTCCTGGGCAGGGCAGGGGAGGGGGTTAATTTGTAACCACCGTGGTAATCATCTCAAGAATATTCCTATACACCATAAAGCATATTCCTTTCAATATTACCAGAAAGAGAAAAACGAAATGAGACCAAAAAAGTAAATAAAAAAAGGAACAGACTAATAACAAAGAACTACTTACATTATTTGAGGAACAAAAAAATATTATCACAATAACCATTTCAATGCCTTCGGTCTGCTAAGCATGATTTTGTACGTCATCCGCAATGCATTTTGGCCTGCTACGCATAATTTTGCTTCTCATCAATGTTCATTTTTCATATGTTGATTCATTTAACTCAAGTACGTAAAATTTTTGGACCATGCTAGAAGTACTACATAGTTTACAATCTCATTTACTCACTACACACAAGAGAAGTAGGGACCACACAGCAGCCATTTTTGAATTCACGTGGGCCCGTATTTTTTGTGAGAGTAAGTACATCATTTTGTAAAAATATGTGAGTACAAATATCTTTATCCAAAAAAATTTTGTCTCGAAGGACTAAATATCTTTGTCAAAGAGTCCCTTCTGCAGTAAGGGTTTTCCCCCCTCCCGCCGGTAGAGGTTTTCTTCCCTCCGACGGGTT